CCATTCGTGTAATTTGCTCTTTAGAGGTATAAATCACGTTTAAATCTCGTTTTGATCTAGTGTAACAGAATCTTATCAATTTTTTAAAATTATAATCCGTTTAAAAGCATCTAAACAATGTGTCAAAAAAAGAAACACCTTATGACCTACAGACCTTTTTTACAAGTTAATTTTCTTAACTGACTAATTCAGTGGCCATATTGAAAATATGAATTTCTTTGGCTCCACGCACTGCCAAAATGTTGATAATAGGTCAAAAAGAGGTACAATGGCTGCCGGGTTTTTTCTGTTTTAATTAGAGAAACACATTTTCTTTCAGTCCAGTGTATATAAGAAAAATGTTAGTCATCAGACCCTCTTCATTCAATCGTTAAAACAACAAACACTAGTACGAAATGAGGATTTTTCAGTTTAAAAAAATCCATTTAAAAACAAGAGCTAGGAGTAACCTAAAACTGCTTTTCTGATTTCAAAATAGACCTTATAAGACTTTTTACTTCCACAATATGGGAGACAATACTAGTTCTTTTAATAGTGCAAACATTCATAGATTTCTGATATCCGACTTGAAAGATATTGTATGAATTTGTCCTGCATACCATCAAAATGATTTCACTAAAAATAACATATGGAATGGTTCCTTTTGCATGTTTGACAGACCTTAGCACATAAAACAAGGACACGGATATACCGTTTTATCTGTATTTTTTAAAATGTTCTCCTCTTTAAAATTGACTCAAGAAATTAGTAGAAAACTTAGACTTTTCACAAGAGCAGATCCTCAAAGATAGAGAGATCACTATAGTCGGCGGATTTCCCCAAAGTTTCCATGGATATAAGACTTGATAAAATCATTCGTAAACAATTATAGAATCTCGCATCCCTAAATCTGTTTGAAACGATTAACATACATAAACAACCGACAGAATCAAAGCGTTTCGAATCCTCTGAACCCATTAGGGAAACTACATGTTACATTTACCGCCGATTATGAATAGAAACAAACAAAATCATAGCGATCCATAGTCGTGTCCATAAACACTGAACAGAGCCTGACCGCTGATAAGGATTACCACATGTAGGGGGCGCTGATGTGTCCGACATAGTAATTAACGCCAGACGGCGCTAGTGCTGTTGTCTGGACCTGATTATTATGGACCAAAGAAGATAAATTCGACAGAATTGAAAGCCAGCTTCCACTCCTGTTGTGATTTAGACAGTTTACTCGTCTAGTTTACAGATAATACATCACGCCCCGAGTTTTACAACTTGTTGACTATACAGGGACGTCAATGTGTGTACCGACGTATAGGTACGATACAAAAAAACTCCAATGCTAGCTGAATTTTCAGTTCGAATCATGTGTATTTGTTCAAAGCCGCGGACGAAGAAACCGATGAAATAAATAAATAAACATAATCACTCACACATCGCTCACACATCGCTCACACAACGAAATCATTGATACAACGATGATAAAATATGAAGCATGATTATTTATGTTTTGAAATTATTTCATACTACGGATTGACTGGCTCTAGCTCTCATCGAGAGGGGCGGTGACTGGAATGTGGACATGTAGTCCGTGCTGAACGTGCACATAGCGCGATGATTTGAATGGTATATTTGAACTCCCTTATTTTGTTAAATGTCTCCTGGCATTTTCCATACATTTATATGCCTACATTTGTTTTATAAACTTATCCAGGGTTATAAATAAAGACTAAATTGCGCCAGAAACAATTGTTCTTTCACGTGAAGGTTATACGATTAACTACATAATAATTAAAAATCCTCAACACAACTTGAACAAAGCACTGGAATAGATAAAAGCTATCCTTGCTGAAGGAACTAATAAAACCACGGAAAATGATTATTGCTATCTAAGTCTGTAATAAAACAATGATAAAATGAGTCTACGAACAGTTATCTCCCCTTGACGAAAGATAGAGTTCTGATGAGCATGTTCGATATAATTATGATTATATACATTCTGAATGAGACGGAAATCCAACAATGAAAATCATATTACCACATTTGCAAGTGATAACGGAAATTATAAATATTTATGTAAAATGACAAACCACTGCTGATGGTTTGGGAGACCCATACCTGACAACAGGGTAGGCCTTACAAAAACAAGTTGATGGAAGGATAGGGAATGAAATTTGAGATAAAAATGAGATTGAAACACAGTATGGTGATTAAAATACAAAAAAGAACACCAAGCGGAACCTTCCCAGCGGTTGGGGAGCCCCCTACCAGCCGGTACCTATATATCCGGGTGTGTATACTCTCATCAGACTCTGTATTGGCAGCTTGCAATATTAAAACCGGATAGCCCCGAAGATCCGATGACTTGGAAGGCCGAGTTGACCTCCGTAATACGGGTGTGCTCTCTGTAGTTGTATAACCTATACCTTCTCCCCACTCACTCCAGCATAATGTAGCCTCTCGTGACAAGTTACAGCAAAAAGGGATAACAGACTTTGTCAAGTACATGTATCAAGCTGTGAGCATCGTATGCATATTGACATTGTTTTATTTTAAATAACCATCAAAATTCTCTATACACGTAATATGAACTTGTACAGTGTACCTTCATAACAAACAGATTAGGTAGGTCATTTGGAATTTATAACGTGTTTTACTGTATGTCTAAATACGCGTGCTTGAAAGAATATTGAAAGAAAACGTCATAACTTCATTACTTACGCATTTAAGTTTATTTTAAAAAAAATAAAAAAAATGACTGACTGACAAACGCTCTGAAAGACACAAAGGTACAAATATTATTTTTGTCGAAAATTCGCGAAAAACGTGTCTTGGTTCTTTTTTTTCAAATCACCGTTTCGTTGCTGATAAAATAAACTTTTATAATCGTTGAGGGAAAATACCCACACGCACAACGCTTTTTTTTTTTTCTTTTTTTTTCAGGTTGACCTCTTTTTTTTCTCACTTTTATCCTATTTTTATTTTTATTTTTTGACTTCATCTGATAACAAGACATATCCATGTACTATCACTGACTGGTATGTCAAAACGTTAGGATATCTGATTATATTCACCAACCATAACAAACATTCCTATCTATTAGGAAGGTTATAAGCGGATTCACCGGGAGAAAAATCCAAGATTTTCAATTTTGTTTTATAATCTTCTTTTTAATCATCCGAATCTCTTAAAAGCTTAATCAATAGGTTTCGCACAATGGTGATGTTTGAAAACAATATCCGTACCTGCACGGAAAAGAAAACACTAAAGCATTATTTTCAAATCCTTAGATTCACGGAACAAAAAAAAGTGATACAAATATGTTATTGACGACATATCGCGTGTCTTCAGACTGTATCGTGACACATAGAAATACTACATTGTGTAGAGGATGATGACATCCATTAAGGGTGCTAATCTCATTAAAAGTCCACAAATGACTCGGTCAATTGTTCACCTGACGGGGAAATTCACAGGTAAAGTAAATCGGAAATCCTGCGACAATGATGGCCTTGTGGCGCCATCTGCCACGTGCCGGAACAAAAGCGCACAACAATGAAAGAGCGTGAAAAGGACACGGGAATAGGCGGAGAGATATGTTGATTTCGAAGTGGAACCCTGTTTATTCTGTACGGATATGTTCCTAATATCCGGAGTGTAACAATTGAGCACTTTGGAAATTACTTCCTTTAGGGATAATTTTAAGTACCTACAAATTCATCGCAATAGATCGGGGTTGCCTAACAAATATCGTCATCGTAGATGGTCGCGTAACTGTTGCTGCGGCTACATTTCTATCAGATTTATATGTAATCTTCCATTAAAGTATCAATTTTTGGCGTCGAGTAGTACACGGTTTATCATTCCAATTTCTAGGCGTATCTTTGGTTGTATAATTGACTTATACAAAAAAACTCAACTCAAAGTTAGACGCCTGCAGTTCATTGAAATGTCCCGAAAAACTTCAGAAATCACCGTCATATCCGGTAAACAACTTATGCATGCTTTCTAATATAGAAATCGTATAATTGGCATTGCACTAACAGTGTAAATAGTTTAATGTTTTAATGAAGTCCCAACGCTCTATCATACAATTATAACTCTTACCAGGACGCCTAAATGATGACATACTGTACACTGAAACTTAAAGAATTAACGTCACATCCGGTATTCGATTCCGTTTCCGGTGTATATGTTTTAATATGAACCCACATCTCTTTTTTTAACACACTGATATCTACTTCTGATACAATCCTAAAACTAAGTGGAACACGTGTCCCTTTATATACGCCGAATGACCCGAGGAACCTTGTTACGTTGTTTTTATACCGCCATACTCGGTCACATCCATCTTAGTAGCTACTGCTATGTTCCCGTTTTTACCATGGCACCTGACGTTGCAGCGACCCTTATCAACAGACCCCGCGACACTAAATCCCGACAAATCGCTATCAAATCGGCTGGATATTTGTTTAGGTTGTTACCACAAAGGACAATTTACTGGTAAGTGCACCACTTAATAACCCAGTAGGAGAATTGATCCAGGACAGGCCGCGGAGTTCCGAAGGGATCCAGGTATGATTGTCCAGGTGCAAACTCACCAGGTATCACATGTAGTTTAGTGCATTCTGATCAAATACATTGTAAAATTATGTCACGTAAGCAACATTGTGTTATTTTAAATATTATAATAAGGTATATCCGGAAACTTGATGGATGTATAGGACTACCATTTAAAGATTGTTTTAACTGCTGCAATCAATGCTTTGATATCAAACTCAGACAGAAATGTTTGAATTTCTCTGCTCTAGAACACTTCTCATTCCGTAGAAACAATAACTTATTATGTATACTCATTGTCATAGTCTACTCAGCTGTATACATGAGTATCGACATACTTCCTAATACTTTGTATTTACACTCAATGCCATAGCCTACTCAGCTGTATACATGAGTACCGAATACTTCCCAATACTTTTCCAATAACACTCAACGCTATAGTCTACTCAGCTGTATACATGGGTACCGAAATACTTCCCAATACTTTTTTATTTACACTCAATGTCATAGTCAACTCAGCTGCATAAATGAATACCGACATACTTTCCAATACTTTTTATTGACACCCATTGCCATAGTCTACTCAGCTGCATACATTCCCAATACTTTTCCAATAATACTCAACGCTATAGTCTACTCAGCTTTATACATAAGTATCGACATATTTCCCCATACTTTTTATTTACGCCCAATGTCATAGTCTACTCAGCTGTATACATGAGTACCGACACACTTCCCAATACTTGTGGGGGAACTGCTGAATACACTTTGATATTGAATGTTCCGGACGTACGACGTAGCACCTTGTGAATGGTAATAAGACTTTAACAAGGGAACAAAGTAACGATTCGAAAAACACGAATCACTTAATAAACATTTATTAGAAGTAACAGTACTGATAGAAACCAGATATCGGGACGGACGGTATGAGTACAGGTCGAGTGATCTCCCCTGGATTGTATATCCTTTTTCCATCCTTGACCAATAACGTCACTGCGGCCTTCTTGGCCGAACCGACTAGACTCTGTTCTTGTTGTAACTGGCGTCGTTTTGTTTTGTATCGTCTGTTCTGGAACCATATTTTTATTTGTGTTTCGGTCAATTTCAGCGCGTGCGCTAAATCCGCCCTTTCCGGTCCCGATAGATAACGCTGGTGTTGGAATCGTCGCTCCAGTTCAAATACCTGCGCATGCGAAAAAGCAGCTCGGGAACGCTTCTTCCTTGGTTTTTGACCTTGGAGAATGCGGTCCGATTTCTTCTCCATGAACGTACACACACCTGAATGCAAAAGAAAGGTTTAGAAATAAAAATAAGTCTGCACTATGGTTTGAATTATACTATAAGGTAGAAAAACGCATTTACAATAACGTTTCCAAACATGTCTTTTTAAACCTTAAGCATTAACCGACATAGGAAGCAAGCCTACAGAAACGTACAGGTATCGATATAACATGGGACATCGTTACCTATCGCATTGGCGTTACTGGGACGAGCGCAAAGCAGAACATCTGTGCAGTTCTTTATTACGGTATGCACGACAGGGCAAATTTATTCGAATAAAGTGATTTCGGAGTACAGTGTATAACAGATTCGCGTTTTATCAGCAATAGTCTTTTTTTAATATATCGTGTAACCTGATTCATCGATTACATTTAAACGATTCAACACCTTTCCTGGAATGTGTTCGTTAACAGCAGGCGTTTTTGACTAATATACTATACTGTATATACCACAGGGTCCCGATAATCAATTTACAGAATATGTTTTTGGACTTTTCCTGATATAGAAGAAGTATCATTAGATGCTATGGGAGTTTATATCGACCCTTGTTAATAATAAGGGATGACAATTTTATCGTATTCTAAACTTCTAAGCATCAAATAATGCTCCCTACATATCAGAACAGGTCAAAACATTTATTTTGTAATTGATTCTCACGTCGATGTGGCGCATTAACTCTGTGGCAGTGTACTTGTCAATGTTTTCGCTGAATAACGTATATGTCGGTACATAATCTCTACTAAGTATGTAACCAACAATCCCGGAAGCGTAAATTCAGCAGGCCGTGTCATTTTAGAAAAACTTCAGGTAAAGATGAATCCCCCAATGATACTGTTACACACATTATTGACACCCCTCCCCCTNCCAAGAGGATTCAAATTCGCCTAATCAACTGTTTATTTATTTTTGATTTGTGCAAGAGTGAATTGTCATGCAATTACACAGCTCGCAATTAGTACTCATTTACACTATGATTTCCCCTTAAGAAATTAGATGTTTTCTAGTATATATGCATTTCAAAGAGATGGGCTTATGCACATACAAGTGTTTTATGAGGTTAGGTTGGATGGGGCTGGCTGCTAGGGTTTAGGGCATCAATGTGCTTACTGTGTGGTTGGTAGATCGAACCCTTCAGCCTTTTAGATCGGAACATTCTGAATGTCTAACTTCAACAAATGATAATCTGTTTGATTGGTTTTTGGTTGTTTGATTGATTTTTTGATTTTTGTAGTTTTACACGGAAAAAGAAGAAGAAAGAGAACAACAAGCTAATAGAATGTTGGAATTAGAATGTGACATTTTAAACGTTTTATAGACTGGAGGGTTCGGTCCGTAAGATTGGTTGCTCTTAGAAGCGTGTTTAAGATATCCACAAGACCGCTAACAAACAGCTGTTTTGAAGTGAAATAGACACACGAACTAGAACCATTATCTCAACCTTTTACCTGATATTAGGACAACTTAACCTTTTGGATATGTAAGTTTCCTTATCTTAGCCTTCTTATAGATTCAAAGCCTGAAATTGAGTGCGAAACAATGGCTTACGTGACAAACAGAAAACAAAATGTCGTCAGCGCAATAAGGTATTATCTTTTTAGAGAGGCGGGATATTAATCAGACCATGTCAGTGAGAATGCGCAAAATTTATAAATGATTTTATATATAAATCCCATTTAATGTAGGATGCTTAATGCTTAAAAGACAATTAGTTACAAAAATAGGACAGTACTATATATATATAGGTCTTTTCATTTCAAACTCTGGACCTCAAAATTTTGCATTTTAATTGAAAAATGATAGAGTTTGAACGATTAAGTTAAATCATATTATATAAAAAGCAAAACAAAAATTGACCCAAGTTTAAAGAACATTATGCACTCTTTTTTCTTAGAATTTGATTAAGCGTAAACAATATTCATCCTGCACGACTTTTATTTTAGTGTACAGTTATATAATTATTGATACTGATGTGATGAAAAACGTTCGAATTTCGTACGAGATTAGTTAATTTTATTCAAGTCTTGCTAATTAAAAAGTCTATCAAATGCGAGAATAAGAACAGTACGAGCGAACAATTCAGGAGCCGGACAGATTTTAAGGTGTCCGATCCCGCCATCTTTCTGTATATAGAGACGAGTATGACAGACTATTGAAAGTTTTCACGTGTGAAATTATCGGTATACTCTGCCATACGAGTAATTTATATATATATGATATCAACGGGAAAACCATATTTTTTTTTTATTACATTTGTTTGCAAGTAATGCGACTTCAAAAAGCGTTGGAATCAGTACATATAGTGAAATATTTGACGCCGAGTTTTAGTGACGTCACGATTGACAACAAGGCATGCAGGGCTACTTGGATTCAAAAATTGACCAAATTCCTAGCTGGGACTCCTAAACAATCATCTAAATCTTTGTGTAGTTATAGACAGGAAACGTTTACAGTCATGATCATTTAGTACTACAGTCTATCCGTCTAAATTCAGCTTCTTGATTTTATAATACTCGCCGGGTCATCATGGTAAAAATAGAGAAACTAATTTTGAAGGGAATATCAGGATTTTCAAAATTAGTGATTTAAATAAAATATTTCTTAAGTTATTTGAATTGAACATAGTTTTCTATACACGAATGCCATTTAAAACTAGTACAGATGTCCGTTTGCATTGGTTGTTGACGTCGTGCAATACTTTAACTACATTTTTGTAGGCGTAATTATTGGAAGGGAATGACCAACAGATTCAAACCCCGATTTTCTTGTACAATATGAATATCCAAATGAATTAAACAAATACTGCACTTATTTTACCAATCTCGGCGAGTCTTTCTATGAACAGTTCATAAGTCCTAATTTAAATAGAATTTCGTTTCCTATTTTCGGTTATAAAGCGTTTTGACTTAAAAAAAAAATTAGCACAGGGACATGGCATTTTGTTACGGTAGGTATGCCAGCCTTGATATATAGGGAGTAATACTTGTATTAGACGTGTTTTAAGGGTCGAGATCGGCACTTGGCAATACTGACCCCTCGTTGATGGTACAGTATATACCATTATAACACTGTGTTGACCTAAACCCTTATACCGTCTAGTATTTCTCTATATATATCGGGAAAAGTTCGAACATACCAACTGTAAAAAATGCTCATGTCCCTATGATTCTAGTGCAATTTATCAGTTTTCCTTGTACTTCTTTAGACGACTCGACAAGGGAATGGAATGTCTGAGTATTAACATTATATTGTTTATTCACTGGATCTGTGTGACTATAGACAGTTATAAAAAATGTTACCTTTCATTATGATAAAGCAAAAGGTATCAAATAGTAAGGTATTGTAGTATTTAAAATCACATCGCTTAAATTAATAGAAGTTTAAATTTATTAGACTATAACAAATAAAAAGTAATTAAACACATATGTTTTTCATTGCATGGATGTTATCATTAAACAATGGGACAAAGAAAGAAAGAAGAAAGAAAGAAAGAAAGAAAGAAAGGGACAAAGGTAGATAAAACACTCGGGGAAACAAGTACACTGTCACAATGTTTGTAGGTACAGGTAGGTACAGGTAGGCACATGTACAAAGAGAGTCGATATTCAAAATGTATTCAAAGTTTAGGCCATAAGCCCAACAGTACATGATGCATACAATGTTTAGAGAATGTATAGAGATTATGTACAATCAAATACATCACAAATAATTAAGAGGTTCTTAATTTTCGGAATATGATTCTTCTATAGGTTCTTAATTTGTTAGCCCCAAAGATAACTTTCCCTAATATGCATAGTTGTTTGCTATTTTGGACACACAACAACTGAATAGCCTTAAAAACAGAACGATCTGATATTTTCGATAAACCGCACCATTACTACAAATTAGTAGAAAGTGAAATTCATCTTCCATGTCAGTGGAGTTACAATCTTTACAATGCCTTAGTTCTCTAGAAACATTTCTATACATTTTGTATCTGCCAATCTCTATAGATAATTCGTTACGTGGACACGGCTTTGATCTTTGGTAGTTTTATTACACTACAGATTTCACGAACTCGAAACCGTAACACTGCGCAAAAGAAGCGTAACACAGCGCGAAATTAAACCAGAAACAAGCGAAAATTTAACAGAAAGATACCTTTATACAGTCACTGTGTTGAATAAACTTTACATAGGCACTATATCAACGTGACACAACGCCTTTTGGTACCAAGTTTGTACATACTAAATAAATATTGTTAAAATGTGTTCCAACAAATAATATAGAAAGTGACGAAAAAAATAATTTCATAAAAAACAGTACTTGAAATATTACTTTGACTGTTATTTAAAAGCTATAAATACCGTATATATTTGTTTTAATATTTTTCACCAACGCCAGAGTCTATTTTTAATTAATTTCGTAATTAGATAATCGATGTTCATTCAATCTGATTAAAACCATATCTTTGAATCTGATTCCACTCCGATACTCTCGTTCCAGCCAAAGACGTTAAACAGCGGAGTGGAATTAAAGATCTGGTTTAATTAGACTGATGTTCACTTTTTCCTTACATGTTGTATATCATCTGGTAATTACATATTCCAGATTTTTTTATATATATATATTGATTTTTTATCTATCATCTATGTAGCTATGATGAGCTAAATAATATCTTATCATTTTCCACCAGACACTTTTAGTTTTTACCTTCGGAAGGCATCAATGTAACACACACGTGTCCCCCTTCTAACCAGGATAATTAGTTACACGACATCTTTAATATACTTACATCAGGCCAAAACATATGTTTGTTTCGGGTTACATGACTGATAAAAGGGTAGGTTGGTAGGGATTTCTTCTGTGACTTTAAATCTTGTTTCTTATTTAATTAGATAGGGGGAAGGGGGGGGGGGGTTAATTCAAGAAATTACAAAAAAATCACAAAAGATTGTTATTCAGAACAATTATATTCTTTATTTCATTATTTTTTTTAGGTATTTTAAGTAATAATACCGGAATTGAATTTGGTTTTTTAAACATGCCTATGAAATAAAGGGGTGTCATAAAGACACTGATTCGGCGTGTTCGAATGGGACGTTTAGGTGCATTCGAGTGAGATAAACATTTAAGCGTTGAAGGTAACAACTAGGGACGGTCGAGGTACCTGAAACTTACATATTGTGTTTGTTTCATATGATTATTTTAATATCACTTTTTCTTCACGGCTTACAATAAGTTAAGGAGATATCCTATCAACATCATTATACAGATATAAGTTATTCCCCCTTTTGCCGTCAATAATATTTGATATATCAGCATTACATGCGTGTCGTTTATATATGTATGTCTGTATGCGTTTCGTGTGTACCATCAATCAATTACATATTTAAAAAAGGGAGATATGTTTATCTTAGAATGGGAGTTGTTTTTAGAGTAGATACACGCTAAGTTAATGTAACATACATCCTGAAGTTGGAAATTAATACGTATGCACTATGTAATTAAGACAATATTGGACACTAAAAACATATGGAGCTCCTTCTAATAGAATTGTTCTAGATACTTGGATATGTACGATTATGGTTGCATAAATTACGTTTTTACTTTGGTGATATTTCATATTTTAAGATATCGACGCGAGACATAGATTACAAATTCCACTCACTTTTTTCGTGTCAAAAATTAACGCTGATATGAATTCTCAATTATGATCAATTAAAACTACGAACAAATATTCTATATTCAACCAAAGTACCTTGTTGACTTCCCAAACTGGTCGGGAGATGTCCGGTGTCTGACATAAAGTCTTGTATTTGGTATTTGGTGTCCGTCTTGTTCGTCCGGATTGACAAGTTTAAGATTTCCGCTGTCGGTGACGAAGAAATCGAACTTTGTGATGTCTCAGATTCCGAATCGGATCCTTCAATGTCAATTTCATCTTCAGAACGTTCGTCACCAAGTTCTGTTTCCTTTTTATTCACCTTAGAAAAACTACCTCCATGTGAACGGAAACTTGAAAAATCTTGTCCGTACTTAAAACAAAACTTTCCGGAAAATTCATTTTCCTTTTCTTTGTGAAGAATATTGTCAATAGAGAATGCTGGACCCGTTCGTTTTATTTCCATCTTTGGAAAAAAAATAAGATGTTTTTTAATCACCAATAGAAAGTTTTCAGATTTTAATTCCAGAATATTTTGATGTAGAATCTCCAAAGATGAGTTCCATTTTATCCTTATTTCAGGAGAAAGCGTTTTATATGTAGTATTTCACATACGGCGATACTACTGAGACGTAAAATAAATTAATAAACTAAACCACACATCGTCCTAGATAACTTCGTTCCGGAATTCATCAATATACCTGCTCCTAGACAAGGTGCGCCTCTTCTCCTATAATTATTTTAGCACTTGAACTATATAAACTGTTGAAGATTGTTTTAACACTTGAACTTCATAAACTGTTGAAGTTTTTGTCAGAATAACACTATACTGATGCAATGGTTGCGCCCATTATACCTTGAGAGCTCGTTTATCGATAGATAATATGCAGCACGTGCGATTCAACAGCTATTTAGCCCCGCCTACTTGACAGGGATTGGCTTGCAGCTTTTAACTAAGCTCTCTCGTAAGGAAATTAACGGAGGCAGGCATAAGGTTTGCGTATCGCTGAGTAGAGAAAAATCGTTACCCAAGGTATGAAGATCGATTGGCTTTAATACATTTATGAATGCGATTTTATCATTGTGTTATCTTTGTGCACTCTATTATATCAGATATGACAATGTCTCTGCTTTACCTGGCGGAACAGCCTTTTCTAGTGGTGTCAGACTTTTACGCCGGTTTCTATAATCATAAGAGGCTCCCAGGTCGACAACACTCGCCTAACTACATGTAAAAAAGTTGGGAAGACATCTTCCTTTATTTTTATGTTTATCTTGCGCAGCACATGGTCATCGATTGACATTTTCCACTTCAGGTAAACGAAGTTTGCTTCTGTTACTTAAGGATTTTGCGTCAATACAATTGTGAAAGGTTATAATTTCATAGCCACATATTAACTTTCTGTATATACAGTTGAGTGTATTTTATTATTATACATAGCATACAGCGTATATTATGATATTGATTATACTTCGTTGATAAAATCAATGACGTGGAGTATATTGTTTTAAGATTTACGCTGTTAAAATTTCAAGATATCTAAAATTAACAGAAATTTGCAAATAAAATGAAAGAGACGCCGTAGATTGTCCTCATTTTTTCTTGGGCGTATAAATGATATATTGTGTTCAATATATTTATCTGATAATATTGCGTCATCGACAAAATGTTTTTACATTCGTCGTTTTTTCCATTAAATATTCAAAACGCAAGTAAGCTCTGGATCTTGAGTAATGTTTCAAAAGGTACATGTAGCTGTAATTCCTTTAAATGTCTTCAATATCGCGAAGATTCTATGAGTTTAGTACATTGTATTTTTGACAGTATCACCATACAGACATATACAAGTGTTCAAACACACTACCTGTCTAATCTGACCAACATGTTGTGTCCTCTAGACTGTCGGATTATGCATGTTAATCCTACCTGTGCGCGTTATCTTTTCAGGCTGTCGGATTAGGAAGGTTAATCTGAATCATATATATTGTGTTCAGGGGGTAACGGTTTAGACAGTTTGATTTGACGAATATGTTGTAACTTACAGGGTGTCGGATTAGACAGGTTAATATGACCATTATGTTGTAGCTTACAGAGTGTAGGATTAGACAGGTTTATATGACCATTATGTGGTAATTTACAGGATGTCGGATCAAACAGATTAATTGAGTTACTATGTTGTGTCCCAATGGCTGTCGGATTTGACAGATTTCATTGTACTCGATCTTCAAATTAAAGATAAATAAATATCGTATACAATTTAAATAGATATTTGGTTAAATAAATTGCTGTAAATTAATGTATCATTCATAGAGTACATGATCTCTTCCACTTAAACATGTCCCATTGATAAGGTCTTGTGACGGTGTCGCTGTATTTAGGTCCCTGGCCCCGCAATGCTTGTGGGATTGCCGCCGATATCTATTTAAACTACAGTATTACTTGCTGAGTGTCCTTAATCCAGGAATCTTATCAGTAGGGTTGAGATTTTATGTTCTGTCTCCCCTTGAATGAGGGGACACTTATTTTTACACTCCCGTTTTCTTTTACTTTATTAGCATGTTCAAAAATTGAAGATCCGTATTTTGAAATGTTTACCCTTATAAGATTCGAATGAGGTGAACATCACATGTAGCTCAATTGGTTAGAGCGTCCGGCTAAAGTTAGGAGGTTCCGGGTTCGAATCCTGATCTGGCCCGGTTGGCGTTGCATTTCATCCTTTATAAACGTTTTGTCTGTGACCAATCCCTGGTTTTGGTGTTTTCTTCGGAGGGGTAGGCTAAAAAGGATGGAGTCGTGTGCAGCAGGACTGGATGAATCATTACCGGTAACCAGGACGCATATTCACGAAACCGCTCTCATGCTCAAACCAACTATCTTGTACCTTGCTCAAATCATGTGACACCTTCAAATATTCAAGTTTTCATATCAAAATTCGGCTTTTTTAACTCTCTCCAAAATTCTCCAAAATCATCGACTATCTAAGTCCTTGGTTAGAGTGACCGTCTAGATTTCAGAAGTTTGGTATTTTTAATCCTGAAAACAATGATGACAGAATTCAATGTGTTATATTTAATAATGATAATAATAATGATAATAATAATATACAACATTTGATATAGCGCCCTATCTTGTTAGCATAAGCCAATCTAAAGCGCTTTACAGTACATATACATACAACGAATACATTTTAATTAGCATATACATTAATCTTTACAATTTTGAGGAATTCGCAGGAGCTGCATCAGACACTAACTACTAGTCCTAAGCCACCTGGCTAATATCTCCCTATTTGTGTATGCCTGCGTGTGTGCTGGAGATGTATTATGTTCTGTTTTGTAGTGGGTCCGTGCTTCCAACGTCATCTTTTATTGTGCCACCTGACTTGAATGATACAGCACAGATACCGCAACATCCACCCCAGACCATTTTATACTCCACCTGGGTTGTTGGAGTTGTGTGGGCAGGAGAAAAACACTTTCTCTGATATTCCATGCGTGCAAAGACTTCGAGAATCGAACCCCGGCCTCCTGCTTGGAAGGCCGAAGTGTTAACTTTTAGCTAGTTTCTGGGCTCGGCTAACTTTTGTGATCATTTAAAGACGAAATCTGGTGTTTTATTTCGATTTCCGTCATTAATTGACAAATCGTTGATAAGTGCTGAATCAAGGTAATATAACTACATTGTAAGTGGATGACGTCACATATTTAGCCGAAGTAGACACTCGAAGATAGGAGAGGAAATACAAATATGGCCGACATCTCTTGCAACTTGATAGGGGAAACACCTGCTCTCTTTCACAGGTATAGATCACGCTTGTAATAGGCCTTTAGATAAGGGGTTGTAAGATATATTATCAATTCCCTTTTTTTTTGTTTTTCGTTTTTGAAATGGTTGGTGACATTTTCAATCACGTAGAAATGGCTGCCATCTTTCTTCTGAATTATTATTATTTTCTAAGACTTCCAACTAATCTTGATTCTTGTTTATCCGCATTATAAACACAAAGGAGGTGTACAACGCTTACTTAAACGCAGACAATTGGTACATATTCTTTCATCAAAGGCTGTTCTTTGATGGATGATTTAGGGCCACTTTGGCCTTTTCACCTTTTCTCTTTTTCGCGGCAATGAAGAGAGAAAATGTACATTTATTTATTTTCCGACGAAAAAGCGCGTTACTTTCCAACAAAGTGGGATTTTCACCTTCCACGAAACGCAAAAAATAGCAACAAAAAGCTGGTTCGCTGTGACTTTCACCTTTGTCCTTGGCGATGTTTTTGAGTTCTGGACAGTTTTGATTTAGGTACTGTAACTAAAGTCACGAACTATCAACTATTATTATGACTACAACATCATGTGGCAGCGTGTTAGGACAATGTACCTGTTTGTGAAATGGGATGATGTTTCTGTTTGTGAGTTAAGGTTATGTCACTGTTTGTGAGTTAAGGTTATGTACCTGTTTGTGAGTTAAGGTTATGTCCCTGTCTGTGAGTTAAGGTTATGTACCTGTTTGTGAGTTAAGGTTATGTCACTGTTTGTGAGTTAAGGTTATGTATCTGTTTGTGAGTTAAGGTTATGTACCTGATGTGTGTTAAGGTTATGTCCCTATTTGTGAGTTAAGGTTATGTCCCTGTTTGTGAGTTAATGTTATGTACCTGTTTGTGAGTTAAGGTTATGTACCATTTTGTGAGTTAAGGTTATGTACCTGTTTGTGAGTTAAGGTTATGTACCTGTTTGTGAGTTAAGGTTATGTACCTGTTTGTGAGTTAAGATCATGTACCTGTTTGTGATGTAAGATCATGTCCCTGTTTGTGAGTTAAGGTTATGAACCTGTTTGTGAGTTAAGGTTATGTACCTGTTTGTGAGTTAAGATCATGTACCTGTTTGTGATGTAAGATCATGTCCCTGTTTGTGAGTTAAGGTTATGAACCTGTTTGTGAGTTAAGGTTATGTACCTGTTTGTGAGTTAAGATCATGTACCTGTTTGTGATGTAAGATCATGTCCCTGTTTGTGAGTTAAGGTTATGAACCTGTTTGTGAGTTAAGGTTATGTACCTGTTTGTGAGTTAAGATCATGTACCTGTTTGTGATGTAAGATCATGTACCTGTTTGTGAATTAAAATCATGGACCTGTTTGAGATCATGTATCTGCTTGTGAGTAAAGGTTGTGTATACGTACCTGTTTGTGAGTTAAGGTTATGTGCCTGTTTGTGAGTTAAGATTATGTACCTGTTTGTGATTTAAGATCATGTACCTGTTTGTGAGTTAAGAGCATGTACCTGTTTGTGAGTTAAGATCGTGTACCTGTTTGTGAGTTGAGGTTATATACCTGTTTGTGAGTAAAGGTTATGTACCTGTTTGTGAGTTAAGATCATGTACCTGTTTGTGAGTTAAGGTTTTGTCCCAGTTTGTGAGTTAAGGTTATGTACCTGTATGTGAGTGAAGGTTATGTCCCTGTCTGTGAGTTAAGGTTATGTACCTGTTTGAGAGTTAAGGTTGTGTCCCTGTTTGTGAGTTAAGGTTATGTACCTGTATATGAGTTAAGGTTATGTACCTGTTTGTGAGTTAAGGTTATGTACCTGTCTGTGAGTTAAGGTTATGTACCTGTTGGTGAGTTAAGGTTTTGTTCCTGTTTGTGAGTTAAGGTTATGTATCTGTTTGTGAGCTAAGGTTATGAATCTGTTTGTGAGTTACAGTATGTACCTGTTTGTGAGTTAAGGTTATGTATCTGTGAGTTAAGATCATGTACCTGTTTGTTAGTTACAGTATGTACCTGTTTGTGAGTTAAGGTTATGTATCTGATTGTGAGTTAAGATCATGTACCTGTTTGTGAGTTAAGATCATGCACCT